TTGGTTGTGGACCCAGGGCAGACCCATTATATTCAATAGTTTATTCAACTTAAATTTTATATAACTTATATACACTTGGCGATTATAGAATGAATCTATGGGTCCCTCTAGGGTTCATTATCGCATAACATAGAAGCATTCATTTCACTTAATAAAGAAAATATTGGATTTTCTGGAAACATACTTTGTCGCTTTTACAAGGAAAACGGTTTCTTTCTCAAACAAAACTCTTATGAACTCACCAACTTAATTGTTGACACTTTTTCAAAACTACTTGTATTCTCAGGAAATCAGTGAAACAGGAAAACCAACAGCATTTTGAGGATGGGACGATAAATCGTCAAACGTTTCATTTTGTCATCATAATGTAATTGATTTTGAAACATGTAAACTTATTCCATGGTGTAACATTTTCAATTATATTTATGATGGTTGTATTTACTTTGAGCACTATTATATTCGTTGTTGTGATACTATACATGAAGTCCTCCACCCCCGGACGTTTCCGTCATCCTTGGTTTGGGGGTGTGACATAAAAGCCCTAAATTTTTAAAGCGTAATTGGAAAAAGCCCTAATATTTTTTTTACTATTGCTATGGCCACAACTTTCTTGCAGAAATATTACTCTAGCCCACTTAACGAGTTTCATGGTTAACTTGGTTAATTTTTTTGCAAAATCAGTCCTAAAAAGTTCAAATTTGGTCCCTGAGGTTTGCAAAAAAATTACACCACATGGTTTTTTAACTTTATTTTTCGTTTTTTGTGTACTTTATTTATTTTCGGTTTTTTTTATAAATATATATACATTTTTTATTTTCTTTTTTTTAACTTTATTTTTCAACAATTTGTTTTTTTTTACCTTTTGTTTTCTATTTTTTTTCTATTTTAGTTATTTATTGTTTTTCTAATGTTTTTTATTTATTTTGATTCAAGTAAACAAACTTTAATTCAATTTAAATTACTATAACAAATTTTTTTATAGAGACCGACTATTATTATATATTTTTTTCTTTCTTTTAGTCTATTATCAAATTTAAAAATATTATCTTGAATTTTAACTATTGATATCACATATAGAAATATGATTTAATTTGCAAGTTATATAACACATTGAAACACTAATTCTCAATAAACAAGCTAATTTTTTTTAATTTTTATTATTTCGTAACATAAATATAATAGCTCTAAAGAGAAAAAAAAAAGAATAAAAAGAAAAAATAAGTTGGACCGAAATTACAAATATAAACATAACTATTTTATTTACTTGAATAAAAATAAAAAAATTACAAAAACTATAAATTATCAAAATTTTAATATACTCTAATATATTAATACATTTTAAATTTTTTGAAAAAGGTCAATAAAAAGTTAAAAATACAAAAAAATAAAAATAAAAACAAATAATTGGAAAACAAAAAATTAAAAATATAATACGAAAAGAAAAATGAAAAAAAAAACTCTAATATACTCTATATATACACTAAAAAAATAGAAAACAAAAGGTAAAAAAACCACATTGTTGAAAAGTTAAAAAAAAAAATAAAAATAAATAAAGTATATATAACAAAAGAAAATAAAAAATGTATATATATTTATAAAAAAACCGAAAATAAATAAAGTACACAAAAAACGAAAAATAAAGTTAAAAAACCATGTGGTGTAATTTTTTGCAAACCTCAGGGACCAAATTTGAACTTTTTAGGACTGATTTTGCAAAAAAATTAACCATGAAACTCGTTAAGTGGGCTAGAGTAATAATTCTGCAAGAAAGTTGTGACCATAGCAATAGTAAAAAAAATATTAGGGCTTTTTCAATTACTCTTTAAAAATTTAGGGCTTTTATAATATTAGTCTCATAAAAAAATAGAAGTTAAAACAAAATAAGACATATAAATAATGGTTTTTTTTGTTGTTTTAACTATTTAATGTGATATTCAAGGATTAATGAAATAAAAAAGCTTTTTGTCTCAAATTTCACAAAATCTCAATTCTCAACTATCCATTTGCATCCAATTGCATTATTTAGTAAGTCATCTTTTGCCACATGAAAATATTGCCGACTTCTAAGAAAGATCTTGATCTTCGTTCCCCTTTTAAAGAAGTAACAAAAAGTTACGGAAATAGAGAGAGATAAAGTTGTTAAAGTGCTTCTAGATCTCATGGAATAAGGCATAATTTAAAACAAAACTTTCCATCTCTTGCTTTCATAGAAAAAAATTATGAAAATCCTGATTACATTACCGCAGGCCAAAATGAAATTTCGAAAAGCAAGCCAAAGAAAAGCATCGTTGAGATATATATTGAAAAAATTGTCATTTATAATTACCATCATTTTTCATGTAATCATAGAGCATCTTCTAAAGTCTTTTGTCTTCATATCATCATTGATAATGTCCTGTATACATTTGATAATAATTTTGATAATATTTGTTTATACACTATGTCTTTGTTAAACATCTAAATATCGTATTTGTCATTTTCAACGTTTTTTAATAGCATATATATTCAAATATATTTATTTGATAATTTTTGTTGATTTATAATTTTTTTTACCATTTTAAAATCGCTAAAACTAAAAATAACCAAATGGACAAATGGACAATATTGTCCTTAGTTCTAAATTGCAGTTCAAGATCACGTGTTGAATTTAATTACAATCGCAGAGGCTTCTTCCCTATCACAACCTGTCTTCTTCCCAATCACAATCTCTTAATACTTACGTGTAGCCTCCAATTCCCCCTTTTGATCTAGTTGACGTCTTCTACACACACATCCAACGCAAACACACTCTTTATTCAGGTGTGACACCAGTTCGTCACCACAATCTAATCTAAGGTATGTGATTCTTCTTCGTTTCATAGCATTGATTGAGGGCTAAATCGGTTTTGCTTTTTGGAAGTGTTTATCTGAAAGTGATATTTAGGATAAATCGATTGGATTTTGGGGGGGTAAATCGATTTGGAATTTTGGTTATCATCTTCAAAAATGTTGGTTTTGGTGTTTGCTTATTCTTGAAAGTAGATGGATAATTCTGGTTTGCTCTTTAAAGTTGAATTCTAATGTTTGTTTCTGTTGGATCAAAATGAATTGATGCAAGACACTTAAGGCATATATACACGATGAAGCATATATGCAAACTTTATTAACCATCCATCAGTTTTTTACAAAAGAGAATACTAAGGTAGGGTGAGCATGGTGCGGTTTGGTGCGGTTTTAGGGTCAAACCGAACCGCAAACCGCAAGGTGCGGTTTTTAAATTCTAGAAACCGTTGGGTGCGGTTTTTTAATGGTTCAGTTTTGCGGTTTTTGAGTGCGGTTTCGGTTTGTACCGGTTCGGTGTCGGTTTTAAACCGATTCAAACATATGGTGCGTTTTTTTATGTTCATTGGTACAATTTTTTGAACCGTGGTGTTCATGTGAAGATTTATGATTGTATGACATGCTATCATTTCGTTTCCTCACATTTATAAGCTGTAATTTTGAGTTTTTTATGTTGTTTACTTGATCGCTTCATTTGCAACCCATATTCCCAAACTAATTTTTTTATTCAATTTGTGCTTAGAAGTTACAAGCTTGCAACTTGTAGCCCACATAGTGTTTACACTTACACATAATCATTAAGTCACAAACACAAAGTGACAAACTCAAATACTAAACCTAATATCTAATTACTAATTACCGTCAAGTTCAATATATAATATATGTATAAATTAGAATTTATTAGTTTTTTAAATAATGTGTATAAATGTATAATATAAATTAGTGGTTTATTTTATTGTTAATAAGCTTGGTGCGGTTCGGTTTTGGTGGTCCGGTTTCTAGATAAAAACCGCACCGCACCAATAAATTCGGTTTTTCAAAAAAATAAAATCCGCACCATCGGTTTTTGCGTCGGTTTCGGTTTTCGGTTGCGGTTTTTGCGGTTTTTCTTTTATCGGTTCGGTTTTTTCTCACCCTAACATTGCAAAGTTTCATGCACTAATTGACTGTTATACCCAATTGCCCCTATTAAGCATAATTAACTAACTTTAATATCCAACTTAACTAACTGATTATAACTTCCATCAACCAATAACTTGAAATGCCTAGAGTATCCTTCAACAGTTTCAACTCATTGCTGATGTGTTTTACTTTTGAAGTTATGGAGCTTTGGCTGGTTTTGTTCCTGAAAATTCAAGCTTATATTGGATGATGTAATTAAATGTATTAAGAGGCTGCAATTGGGATGAAGGCAGACTACAATGGGAAAGAAGCCCCTGCAATCGTAATTAACTTCAAACACGTGATCTTGTATTGCAATTTAAAACTAAGGGCAATATTGTCCATTTGGTTGTTAAAGTTTTAATAATTTTAAAATGGTAAAAAATATTATAAATCAATAAAAATTATCAAAAAATAGATATATATATATATATATATATATATATATATATAACATTAAGGGTAAATACGATAGAATACGATATTTAGATGTTTAGCAAAAGCATATATAAAATTCTGCCAATATATATTATGGTTTTCAATTCCCTACAAATTGAACATAATATATATATATATATATATATAATATATATATATATATATATATATATATATATATATATATATATATATGTTAAAAAAATAAGATGATGCGGTAAGACCATCTTTAATCAATTTTGTCTAGTGAAAGAAAGATATGGAATAATCAATTTTGTGTAGTGAAAGAAAGATATGGAATAATGATGTATTGCTGACGTGACATGCCAAAAATGTGGTATCACACACACCGGTTTAGGAAAAATCAAATATTTTTTTACTATTTCTTCCTACTAACTAAATCTAGACAAATATCAAAATCAAAATAATAAATTAAGAAAGAGACCTAATGGATTCTACACGACGTAATGTTATATAAGGAGGAACAAGGGATACGAGAATATTTAAGTTTTCTAAAACTAATAAATTAATGAATTCATATATTGTAAGTCATACAACCAAAAATATAAACTCACAATGATATCTACTTCCATACAAACACTCTATTAGAATTTTCATAAGATGAGATGACTCTATGGCCAAAACTCATTAACATGTGATCAACCATTTGTTTTAACAACATGATCTGGATCGTGAACCAAGATCATGTTCCACCTGCTTGTAATTTTTACCCCATAAACAAAGATGCAAAGTTGATGCCCCCATTTTAAAATTCAATTACCAACTAATAATACCACTTGTACAAGAGAAAAGTGAAAGAGAAAGAGAAAGCACAAACAACTAACTAACTTCCAAAATCTCAACTGCTTTTAAAATTCCAATCCAAAAACTCAAAGTCTGCAAGAAAATATTAAATACCAGTCGTTCAGACAATGTGAAATTTTTCTCATAACCATCCGCATACTTAACCAACCACTTCTTATGCCGGCACTGTTACAAAACAAGGATTCAGAAACAGAGCTTGTTTAGAACATAATCACCAAAACAAAAACAATTAAAAATAATAATCATAAATATTGCAAAAAAGGCCATACTGTATGTTGAAGTATCGATTTGTTCCGGAAGCTCCTTTATGTCGACCTCAAACCTTTCCTGAACCTGCAAGCAACATAAAAATTAAAATTATGATATAAAATTAGACAGATATTCAGTCCACCAAAATAATAATAAAAAATGTACTTTTTATGTTAGGGTGCAAAAGTGCAACAAATAAATACCTGATTAAGAACATCAGAGTCTGAAGCAGATGATACAAAAGTGATAGCAAGACCTTTTGTACCAAATCTGCCAGCTCTTCCCACCTGTGCCAAAACAAAGCATCATCAATTAAGAAATCAGTTTACATTAATTTAAATAATAATAATAATAATAATAATAGTCTTTACTTGTTTTTATATAAAATTAAATGAAAGAAACGAACCCTGTGGAGATATGTATCAGCAGAATCTGGCATATCATAATTAATGACAATATTAACACGCTCAATGTCTATCCCTCTTCCAACTAAATCAGTTGCCACCAGGATTCTTTTCAGCCCTTCCTTGAACCCCTTGTAGCGTGTCAATCTAATACAAAAAATGTCAAGTCAACTCCAACAAAAAAAAAAAAAAAAAAAAAAACATATTATAAAAACCAGTGAGTTAGTTTAGTTGGTTGCCTTTCTTCTTGAGACATTCCAGAATGGATGCATATAGATGGGAAGTTGCATTCCACAAGTAATTTGTTAAGCTCTGCTGCTCTACTCACACTCTTGACAAAAATGACAACTTGGTTGAAATCCAAGGCATCTAGAAGGTCATTCAGCTTCCGATTCTTCTCCATCTCACCCAATTTTATATAATGCTGACATCACATCACATCACAGGAAATAACAGATTGAGAGGAATGAGGTTTGGTTGAATGATTTTTCATATGAAATCATTTACATTTTCATGTAAATACAATCATGTCATTTTCAGGAAATAAAAGTAAGTGAAAAAAGTTAAAACATGAGTCAGCTCTTTTAGTTAACTTGGATTCATAGAGTTGTATACCTGGACCAATCCATGAAGAGTTAACTTGGCTTCATCATCAACATAAATTTCCATCGGCTGAAAATGGTAAAAACAGGAATCAAGAAACTGTTAAGCAAATTACAAAACACAAAGAGTTCAATTACACAAGAAACAAACAACAATGTATTTGTATTGTATTACATACATCTTGCATAAACTTCTTGCAAACAGGTCGAATCTCCTTGCTTAGTGTTGCAGAGAACATCATCACTTGTTTGTCATGAGGGGTCATCTTGAAAATATCCTGCACATCTTTTCTCATATCTGTACACAAGTAAAACAGAATTAAACATACATGCCAAAAACTAAAGCATACACTATAAGTAATAAGACAGCAATAAAAAAAAACAACCTACCAAGTGACTCAAGCATTTTGTCACACTCATCAAGGATGAAATGCCTCACATTCTTCAATCCAAGATCCTTATCTCTAGCAAGCCCTAGTATTCTTCCAGGTGTTCCAACAACAATATGAGGACATTCATTCTTTAGCAGCTCCTTATGGGTCCTTATGTTGACTCCTCCATAAAAGACAGCAACTTTGAGGTCAGGCAAGTATCTACTGAACCTTTCAAACTCATGGCAGATCTATATGACCACAAACAAAAAAAAAGTAAGACATGGGTGAAAATTAACATTTTCAGATTGTTGAAGGGTTACAAATGAAAATCTGACCTGATAAGCTAGTTCTCTGGTGTGGCAAAGGACAAGTGCAGCAACTTGACCTGCTACAGGCTCAATTTGCTGAAGTGTAGACAGAACAAAAACAGCAGTTTTCCCCATTCCAGACTTGGCTTGACAGATGACATCCATTCCTAAAATAGCCTGTGGTATGCACTCATGTTGCACTGATGAAGCGAATGAAATCCTTCGTAAGTAAAAATCACGGCTTCTTCCCGAAAATGGAAAGGTTTACCAAACCAGATATCTGGCTGAAATGATGAGCATGGAAGTAATATTTACCTGAAAAGAAGGAAAGAATAAAAAAAAGTATAATTAGTTGAAAGACACATGTATAAAGGAAAGAAACTTGGGAGAAAAAGTAACAGGAGCATATTGGTAATTTGGTATACAATCTATAACTACTAATGAATGAAAACAAACAGAAGTATAAGACTTTGCCTTCTGAAGGGTGTTCAAATCCAGAATCTACAATGGCTCGAAGAAGCTCTGGTTTCAGCAAGAAGTCTCGGAACCCGGAACTGTGAATTCCAACATAGCCCCTGAAATATCAAGTGAAGTAGTATAAAATCACATATAGGAAGGCCACATCAAATAGAAGAAGGTTAAAGCCTTAATGAAATAGTATAAAATCTCAACACTGTTGAGCATGTATAAATAAGAGGAACATAGACGTGTTCTAGTTCTCTTTGTTTGAACAGGTGAGAGTGATACGTTTAAGTTTCATAATGAAATTCTTTTGGTGGTACCTAGATCCACAATCAAGTGATGAATAGTTTCTTTGATGCAAGGATCTAAGATAACGGAAGTGTATCTTGTGTTCAACTATGTTGTAGAGTAATACCAATTTTTATACTTTTGCCAATAAAACTCACTTGTAAATAACTCATATAACTATACAGGTAATGTACGTGAGACATGGCATGTTTAACACTTTCTCCAAGTACGGTTATCATTAGTGTTAAATAATAATACTCTCAATATTTTTCCCTCACTGTCAAATATGATTAAATTAATGAGAATCCCCCCTAAATGTCATTCTGCAATGAATTACCAGCTAAACAGTTCCTCGAGTTCAAACAAAGGATTCAATTTAAATTAACAAGTAACAAGACGTCATACAAACTCTGAAAAACAAAAAAAACAAAAAAAAACAAAAAAAAAAAAACAAAACCTAGATCAAAGTACTGCGGCTTACTTTTTGACGGTCTCGGAACCAGGTTTCCCGTTGATGGCCTCGGGGGCTTTTTCATCTTCCTCTTCATAATCGAGAAGCTCCTCCTCGTAAGCGTCGTTATCCTTTACTTCCCCCATGACAACTCCTCTGCACAGCAATACTACTTTGCTATAATCAATTATAAAGATCAATCAATCCATGTTCAAAATAAAAGAGAGAAATCTGCGATTTAGGGTTTATGTTTACCTTTCTTCGACCAAATACTAAACTCGCTTGCGGCTGAAGCGCGTTGAAACAGATCGAGATCAAACAACAAGCGTTGTGTTAAGAGCAGAGATTGAGGGTAGAACACCTGAAAGAGATTAAACAAAAATCTAGGGTTTTCGAACGAGACGAAGACTAGAGAGGCAGATACAGTTAACGGCTACAGTGAATAATTTATAGACAAGTTATCGTGTACCGGTAAATTACATCCATGCCCTTAAAGTGGCCGCTCCCGTCACACCTATCATACTTCGTACAAAAACTAATCCAACTAGGGTTATACCGTTGTCTGACAATATTAGGGGGTGTTTGGATAGGAAAAAAAGAGGTGCTTATTGCTTATTCCCATAATAAGCTAATTTCGGTGATGTTTGTTTTCTGAAGTCAAAATGTCTGCAGTCTGCGGACCATATCTGCAAGCTTCTGCAGCAGAAGAGGTGGACCAAGTGTCTGCAGTCTGCAATTAGAAGTCTGTTTGTTTTTTAACATCTGTAGGTACTGAAATAAGCTGATTTTTCAAATTAATTTAATGTCATAAACATAAAAAAATGCATTTTCAGCAAAAAAAAAAAAAAAAAAAAAAAAAGGTAAAAAAGATAGGCGACGTTTTTTTTTTTGGTTTATGTTAAAATGAGGTCTGAAGACCTTTGAAGACAGTGGCTCATGTCTGCGCCAGGAAGACCTTGCGTAGACGTTTTTTGATCTGCGCACTTCCAAAAAACAAACACTCTGCGAGGACATATGTATGCGCGTTGTCTGCGCGGCGCAGACAAAAGTGGTTGCGCAGATCTGCACAAAAAAAAAAACAGCCCCTTTGAGTGTTTGGATAAAATCCAGCTTATTAAGTTAAATAAGCTAATTTTAATAAGCATCTCTTCACATGCTTATTGCTTATTGCTTATTCCCACCACAAATAAGCTAATAAGCTAATCCAAACACCCCCTTAGTGTATTGAAATTGAAATGTATTTTATTTATATATTTTTTGTCACCCGATTCAATTTTATATTTTTATAAGTAAAAAATTAAAAATGATATATAAATAAGTCATTAATTGCAAGTGATCACCAGCCTAGCTGTTTGTGATGCATCATGAGTTCGACTCCTTAGCTGAGCATATGTGTGGGATTTTCCCTAGATTGGTGTGGGTTCGATCATTCGTTCCCTCTTGAGATGAGTGGTGCCCCTCTTGGTGGCCCGCGAGGTATTCCTGATCCATCGGGTCGGGTTACCCTCTAATTATTGTCGGTTCTAAAAAAAATAAGTTATATATATATATATATATATATATAACCAAATAACTACATTTTAACATTTGGATCGGTATGGGAATTAATTTGATTAAAAAAGATGTAGCGATAAAATTACATATGCATAACATGGAATCACAAACCCCAAGGGCATAATGGGGTTTATGTGTCTACACAGCTACACCACCACGTACACTATCTAATTCTCAAATCTATCCATCAAAACTTACTGTAGTATCCCATAGATCCGACCTCAATCCGGAATCCACCGCCTTCCTCCGTCGTGAGCTCATCCACCATCACCTCCCCTTACTATGTTGTGAGCTCGATTCTCCCACTTATAACAGACTTCCAGATTCTTACAATGTCATTGGCACCTCATGCTACCTCACTCTCAAACCCTTCTTCTCTTTCAAACCCTCAATCATCATAATCTATTATTCCGCTTTCTTAACCTACTGACCACCTCATGTAAATCTTGAAGGCAACTTGTTGTTCGAAACTCTATTACGATTCTTCAGTCACCGTCTATATAGTGCACTAAATCATCCACTATGAAATTAGTGTGGTGAAGCATATCATTGACAGCAGGAGAAACTGACGGTGGAGATTGATCTTGTTATTGATGATCTCAACTCCGATGTACAACCGCCGCGACATTGCTAGCCATGGTTGTCGTGCTATCAAAAACTTATCATCTGCATGTTTATTCAATGAAGCGACTCACACTTGATGCATAAGTACTTCTTTTTTGGACCTTCTTTTGAATTTTTTATAGTTAAACCGTCTTTAATTAGTTTTATTCTACCTGATGTGTCTCCTACGAATATCCAACATTGAATTTGGGTCTAAGAACCCCAAATAATGAAGGTTGATGATGGATTTTAACCCTAAGGTCCTAGGTTGTTCACGAGAACATGTACGTGATGTTGGTACTACTATATGTTGTCGATATGACTTTGATCTAGCTCTCTTATTTACATGAACATGAGACATAATCAAGCTTAAACTATCACCATTTTTGTAACCTCCCATTTTCACAACAAAAAATTTTCATTTTATTTAAGTAGAGCTTACCATTTATAAATCCATCTTGAAGGAAACTGTTTATTCCAAAAACATTTATTGAAATCAGAGTAATATTAAAGCGTGGAATCTTCATTGTTGTTGATGAATGTGTAAGGCACGCCTTCGCATTCCCATGACGACCGATGATACCTGAATGAATAAACAACTAAGTAAGCACAAAGCTTAGTGAGTTCCCCCAAAATACCCCATACGATAAACATACAAGCATGCATTGGGTCCACTCAGCCATCGGGCTGGAATACCCAAGGTTTGTTGGCCTACCGCCTCAACCCAACCGCTTTTTTCGAGCCTCTGTGCCTACGACTTACAGTCGACCCGCACCGGGGTATCTTGGCCTACAACACAAAGTGGGACCACCTCAACTCATTACTACCATATGTCGGCATATAAACAATCAGGATAAAGTAGGCACATAAAACATGCAAACAACAATCATACAGCACACTACCACATACTGGTCCTCACACCGCACACTCTCCCGCTACCAGCTATCCTCCATGAGATGCATAACCATAAGTAACCAGAGGTGAGATAGCCACCCGAACAGATGATCCTACTCTAGAGTCACAACCAAACAAGGAACAGACAAGAAAGCCTAGATCAAGAGTTCTCAGGCAATCCTACATGACCACATACAGTCCCTATGGAACTCCACTAGATGATAAACATCAAGTACATGTAAACATACAAATCTACATATCACTACCGCATAACAACATCCTATATACCAGGATACAAATCTAACATATCACTACAACATAACAACATACTAAATACCAACAATCCAAGGAATGCATAACCATATATACTCAGAGGTGAGATAGACACCCGGACAAGTAGGGGTGAGCGCGGTGCGGTTATTAGCCAAAACCTCACCACTAACCGCAAATGCGGTTGATCCATTTTCAAAACCGCTTGGTGCGGTTATTTTTACGGTGCGGTTAGGCGGCTATTTTTGCGGTGCGGATTTGTTTTTACTGTGTTGCGGTTATTAACCGCATGGATTTGGTGTGGTTATTTTGTATGGTTTTTAACCATAGTTTGGAGCTCAAACGGCTTTAAGAGTTCAAACATATTACTTGTAATAATAAAAAAATCATAAGGTATAAGACAATTAACTTAAATCACAAACAACTAATATCTTAAAAACGTCAAATCAATAGTAATTAACAGTAAATATCTTAAAATTGTCTAATTTCACCGTTTTTCAAAGTTAAACATCACAAAAAACCAACACTTTTGTCTTCTAGTATTATATCAATCTTTCATCCATGAAACTTGTCTTATTTTTAATATTTAATATATTAATAATTAATAAAAAAATTGTATATAATATATGCGGTGCGGTGCGGTTTTTTTGCGATTTTTTGAAAACTAATAACCGCACCGCACCGCAAATTTGCGGTTTTTGAAAAACAGAAAACATCACCATCAGTTTTTATTGCGGTTGCGGTTAATCGGTTGCGGTTTATGCGGTTAATTTTAGTTGCGGTGCGGTTTTTGCTTACCCCTACGGACAAGTGATCCTACTTTGGAACCACAACCAAACAAGGAGCAGGTAAAATAGCCTAGATCAATAGTCCTCGGTCTATCCTACATGACTATATACAGTCCCTATGACATCCTTCTACTAAAGATAACTAAAACTAGTGGGCCGAAATTGGTGCCTTCGACCCACGGGTACAGTGAGACAAAACTCACCTGAATCGAAGAACCTTGAAACACTGCGATATGATCCCTTCTGCACTGCTTGCTCCCGCGAATCCACTAACACCAAAACCAGATAAAATCTTAATCAATAGCCCAAAATCCTCAAGTTTGACCCAATGTCAAACTTGGTCAAAAAGTCAATGGTCAACGGAAGTCAACAAAAGTCAAAGTCCAAGGCACTTGAGTACGCCCAACATACGCAGCCTGATACCACTCCTTCATTAAGCAGTTAATCCCTTAAGGACTTTTCACCCAAACTCAAATCTAGCCTCACAACATTGTCTTAAGTCATAAAGTTTTCACCTTTACGACTCTCCATGGCTAGGGAAGATCCAAAAGCTAAAACCCTAACTTATTAATCCATTAAGACATCACAACTCTTGCATGGGAGGGGATAAAAGGACCAAGATCACATTTTTATGGTTCCTAATAGCTTCATAAAGGATAAAGTTTCCAACTTTATCCATTAGAATGGTCCCAACAAATAAGATCTAGTCGTTAAGTCTCAAAGGGACCAAAAGTGCGTTTTTTTCAACTTAATCCATTAGGTCCAGGTTTCCAACCTTTAGATATGAATCAAAATGATGTTTAGATGGATAATGTAACATCTCAAAAATACAAATAAAATTTTGTTTTTAAATTCATTCAAAACATATGATATTCATATCAAAACAGTCGAAAGTGTATCATAACAACATTTTATCAGAGTACAAATTCTCCAAAATCTTATAATGCGGAAAATCATAGGTAGATGCAGTGCAATCAGGTCAGGCCCTTCCTCTTAGAGTTGGAAATACCTAAAACATAAACTAAAAACCGTAAGCATAAAGCTTAGTGAGTTCCCCTAAAATACCCCATACCATGCAAACATACAGTCAAGCATATATGGGTGCTTGCAGTCCCCTTCGGTCTATTTCAACCGGATACAGTCAAGCATATATCGGTGCTTGCCATTCCCTTCAGTCTATTTCAACCGGATACAACCAAACATATATGGGTGGTTGCAATCCCCATCGGTCTATTTCAATCGGATACAACCAAGAATATTTAGGTGCTTGCAATCCCCTTCGGTTTATTTCAACCGGATATTGTGTCTATTTCACCCCTACCACTACCACATAACATCATAACAAAAGAATTACATAGTCATCAAGAAAATACAGGCATAACTGACAATTGTCACAAAGACAATCATCATACTACATCATAAACTAGTGGGCCGACATTAGTGCCTTCGACCCACGGATACAATGAAGGAAACTCACCTCAATCTGTTGAATCTCTCTGATAAAATATCGGACTGCTGCAACTGGTAATCACTTCACTAACCAAGCAAACAAAACCCTAATTAATAATTAGGTTAATAAACCTAACTGGGGTCCCTGCTCCTCAACTTCACTCCTAGGGTAAAAGACTATTTTACCCTACCCTTACTGGGTCCACCTAACTTGGCCCAAAAATCCAATAATGACCCAAGGCTCAAAATGGCCTAACTCATAAACCTAAGGCCCAACTACGACCCAATTACTGCCCAACTACGGCCCAACAGATATAAGGCCCAAAACCCAGTTAAGGCCCAAAGCCCAAAAGAATCACAAGTCCAAAAAGGGCCCAAAACGTTGAATGTCCACTTCACCGAGTACGCACGACGCACTCCTCGTACGCGTGGCATACGAGTGTTGACTCAAAAACAGGCAGTTGACCCAGTACGTGCAGCGTACTAGCAATTACGCCCCGCATACCGGATGGAGTCCCATTTGTCCAATTTTTGTCTTAATCACTTAAGCTCTTAACGTCCAAACCTCATATCTACTTCATTTCAAGGTATTAACACATAAAGTTGGAAAATTTATCACTTTGCATGACTTAAAGGGACCTAAAACCCGATTTTGTCCATTAAGACCCATAATAAGGGCTCTAACTCATGCATGGTCCACTAAGATTCATCAAGATAACATTTTTTTACACAAGGAACATTAGAGGGGTTAAGATCTAGCATTCCTAGCTCCTGGAGTGGCTCAAACTCACAAGGAGACTCATAAGACCATAATAAGCTCAAAATCAAGCCCTAATTTAAATCTAACACAAAGTGGTATCGAGATGAGAACTTTATACCTTCAGGAGCTAGCAAATGTGATGAAGATTCTGGATCTACAACCTCAAGTCCAACTAAAGCTTGATCACCAAGCACCACATTCTTTAATGCACACAAAAACAACACAAATTTACTTCCAAAGCTCAACAACACACTATAGGAGGGTAGGGTTTCGTGGGGAACCGTTAGAGGGAAGGGGCCGATGAGGAAGCAGCCTCAATCCTCATAATGATGATTATATAGGGCAACAACCCTAAAATTTAGGGTTTGTGTTCTGCTTGATTACGGCCAACGTACGTAGGGGTAGTCTAAAACACTCATGCAAGGGGGATTATGTCGTGCGTACCTTGTGTACGCCTAGCGTACTCATGCCTAGACCAAGGTTAATTGAAATAAGGCTAAAGCT